TAAGTATAGAAATCATTTCGATAGTGTAGTACACTATCTTAAGTAATCATAGCTGTATTCCCACCTTCTCTAGATCATAATCATACTGCTTTTTTGTGTCGCACACTTACTACCACGAGAGCCAACTGCAATAGCTCAAAGAGAAACTATGGGATGCCGAGGTGCCACCTCTTACAAACTGCAGTTTTCAAAAATCTGTGAAATGCCGTTCTGTCGTATATTGGTCATATTTTGCAAAGTCCAATAATTGGGTGACGTTGACATTACATGTGATCGCATGCAGCGATGGAAGAAAATCATAATAGAGCTGGATTTACTTGAGGTCTGCATGACGTCAAGCAACTTTTAAGTAATTAGAGTAAACACAAGTTTTGTTGGTGATAACAATATCCATTGTTTTTAGAACATTGACCAACCCAATCGTGAAAAATAATTTAAGATTGACTTTAGTCAAACATTGTATGCTTGACTGATGTTTGTATAGATTCTAATATACTTCACGGTAATGCGATAGTGCGTCACAGGTTCTATACATATATTTATAGACCATTTATGATACCAGGACAATTCATATGCAAATCAAACTGTCCACTAAGTCTGTTGACCTGGCAACAGATAACAATTATGCGCACGTTAATGGAACTTTTGATCCACTGAGATCTTGTAATTAGTTCATATTTATCGGTCACAGATAACCCAGAAATAGACGATAGTTGACACAGGAATGATTTGACAGAGCAGTGTAGGGATGCTTGGTTCACTGACAAGCCTACTCAATGCAACCAACCATACAATGGCGATTGAAAATTTGCGTATCAGAGCATCTACAGCTAGAAAGCCATTGCCACCAATRTGAGCGTATTAGTTTATGGGCCACAAAATGTTTTGAGTTATATCTAGAGGATGACGAATCCAGAGGTAGGCTATATTACGTATTGATAACTTTTCAAGTTGTTGAATGAACCGAAGAAAGCGATCCGATCTTGAAGGATCTCTGTTCAGCACCTGYATACTCTACATTAACATGCCTGTCCTCTGCATGTTCCTTGACAAAATAATTTGTATTTCAATTTTATAAATGTTTAGAAGATCTTAAATAGAYAGTAAATTACGATAGATTTCAGCTCACTAAAATCAGACAGGTGTCCAATACRAACATTCTACACAGACTTATTGTRGCACCATTGATTCGCTGCGGAAAGAAGGAAAGAGATTTCAACACTTTTCTTATTGCTATTCCATAAAACACGCTTGCTATAATGTTTTACTAATAAAACTTCTGAGTTAGTTGCGATCAGCCAATTCTAGAATTTTCCACATCTAAAATCTCATACTATAAATTAAGACTTGTTTGTGTAAGGAAAGAAAGAAAGTAACTACAAGACAAATTCCTTCTGTCTTTGAAAAACGGGCATCTGTTTTTGTGAGAAAACGTCACCCGTGGCGAGTCTTAAGGCTTTAGTTTTTATTCACTTTTAGCGATAAAGAAGTGATAAGATATCATAGACTTCTGAACACTATTCATAACAAAGCGCAGAATTAAATATGTCAAGACATTTTCTTGTTGACAGTGGCTTGTGGGCGCTTAGCGAATACGCAAAACTTCGCTGCATATATAATACATATTCTTACTTAACGACGTTTCTGTAAAACAAAATGTCCAGTTCAGTTTTCCAAACTATAAAACCGAAAAGAGGTCTTAATCGAAAAACGTCCCCAATTTTGAGTTAAGACTGTATTTTTTATGTGCTTTTGACCGGATTTGGTTAATGTACTACGACCTCTAAATGAGATTACGAGAAGCTTTAGGGTTTTTCGCATCAGTTAACAGCCTCATCTTCCACCAAGCAAACTGTTTAAACGATCCAAAAATATAAATCAACATGGTGATATACCCGCAATAGCTACTGCTTTTTGCAACATGCAAATTGCTAAAAACTGTCGCCAATAATATGATTGCTATAACATTCTCCTAGTGGCCCTAGCGTAGCCGAGAAACTCACTTAAAAATAAAAAAAGATCAAGTTTTAATTGTAAATCTTATGAAAGGTTCGTTTTGCAATCAGTTTTGTGCCAAACAAAAATGACAACTTGGGCATACTTATCGTTGTGATGGATTTCTTTATTGAAATTTTAATTATTAAAAAAAACATTTTAGTGTCATAGCATTTTTCAAAATAATTACAGTCGGTTTGGAATATAAAGAAATACGGATGAATCAGGAAATGATAAGTTAAGACGTGGAAACTGTACTATCAAGCAATTGCTTTTCGTTTCTTTATTGGTGGTTAACAGACGGTCAGATAGAATCCTAAGTGAATTCAAAAAAGTGTTAATTAATARAAAACATTTTGACGGACGTCGGTGAGTTCGTGATTAATAACAATTTTCATGTTCACAAGGGTTTTCCTTCTCTTCTTTGCCTTTCTTTGCATTGCAGCTTAGTCTCATTTGTTTATTCCATTCGCTGTTTTTTTTTCGTTCTCATCTGCTTTCCTTATTCTTTTAGTAGTTTTTTGTTTGTTTGTTTGTTTCTTGTCATGTAATGCCAATTTTTTATCATTTTATTTCAATATTAGTAACAATCAAGTTTGGTTTTATAGTTATGTAAATATTACCCTTCCTCACACATCAATATGGTCAGTGATACACTTTTTCTCTGACTTTCAAAGTGCGGGAGTCATAACTATTTATTTTAGTTAGCCAGCCCCCGTGACAGTAATTTTGCTGGTAGTAGATTCATCCGGGAATAGAAATMGAAATTCTCTCCTGTAATGACGTTGACTATCACTCAATTCGCAACTAAAAATTGTTAAAAGATATATATTAAAAAAGATGAACGTAAAAAAAAATCCCCAAATTGTTAACAAATATTATATGCATATATTTTTGGTGTACAGAAGCGGACGGCGGTTTCCTAGTGATTCTAAGGGTCGGGGTTTTGTTGGTATTGTTCTYATGGTTTATGGTTTCAATGCAACTTTTTGTGCCGGTTTCAATACGAACTATCGCATTCAATATAGAAAAGTAATGGCTATTCTTACTCGATAATTTTAGCTGCGGTTGACGGAAACTCAGAAGGGCGACAATCAGCGGTTTTGCGGTATAACAGCCCCCTATAATAGACCCATCTCGTGTCGCGAGCCTTCGTTTTTCTTGGCCAGCGCCGTCGACAAATATAAGACTCTGGGATAAAGGAATTTTCATTTGTTATCCAAATGGCCTTTGCTCGAATTTCCTCAAGAAGATCGGCTTAATTGTAAAAAAAAGTCAAAACAGGAACGGTTGTGTAAAATGATATATTCAACACCGTAAAAAGTAGGTGAAACACTAAGAATTTAATAACTTTTCGGACCTTTTAAGGATTAAAATCCTTCGTCGGCCACCAAAAYAGGAACGCACAAGATATCGTTTAATGAGCCTACCTTGAGAAAGTATTTCAGAACCAATCAAAATTCGCAGAAAATTCTGGTATCCCAGAGTCTTACGTTTTCGACGCTGGCCAAGAAAAACGAAGGCTCGGTGTACAAGATTGACATATGGGGCGTCCCGAGGGCAAAGTAAAGCGAAAATTTTGAATTATAAAAACCGTTTTTTTTTTGCATTTGTTAAAATTTCACGTCCATCTTATCAATTCTTATCATTGATAATGGTTTGATGGCTTGTGGTGTATATTAAGTAAAGCCAAAATCCACGTAAAACATCTTTACTACCACTCCTTCATTCGCTCACTCCGTCACTTGTTTCCTTACGTCCCTCATTCCGTCCTTGCTTGCTTGTTGTACTAGTTCGGTATTTACTAAGTACTTCATGCATGTTGACTGTTCGCCAATCTCATCTATTCAAGCGGGTTTTTAATTGACTTGGTTTCTTCTTAGTCTCTTAGTGTTAGAAATTTATCAAGGAAAGCCAGCAGTGCAAGCAATTACCATGGAAGTAAAGCAAGTTTCTACAGTGATACARCAAGCGTCCCTCCACCCTCGATCTCTATTGCAAAGTCTTGTCAAAGACTGCTTAGCCGAGCTCGACGAGCTCTTTGTTACAAACCGAGATACTTTGGGAAACCTCTCGAAGACAGATATAACGACAATAGCCAGGTAAGACATGACATGGGCGCGTTGAGATATGAATTTTATCTGTCAATATTAGTTTTTTAAGAAAGCTTAAAAGCATCTAATTATGAAGAAACTCAGTTGAAACGTGGAAAAATACGATCGATAATCTACGTCTACGTTTGTGTACCAGTACAAGAGCGAACTTACGTAATGCGGTCTTCATGGCCTGCGGAAGGAAGGTTGTTGGAAGGGGAGGATGGGAAGGGAATAAACGAAAGGGATATGGAACTACAAACAGTTCTCTTTCATGATTTGTGAGGATTCATTTTCCATAACATGCATGTCATTTCATTTTTAGGAATTTATTTTGTGCTATATTTATATTTGATGAATGACTTCGCAATTAATGTATTTTATTGTCATTCTTCACTATATCTACAGCTGCTCATGATTGGTTAATTTAATATCTAATCAGAACATTACCTTTTATTSGTTGAATACACAAACCCACCATGACAAGATACCACTATGACGAACATGTGATTGTTTTCTCATCTTTATTGAGGTTTCTTCATAATGTGCGATTATTATAGGACTACCTACGGCCTCAGTTATTAGTGATGATTATGCAGCCTTGTACATGAATTATTTAAGAAAGAACAGAGAAAAACGATGCGAAGGCGCTGTAGTCGGTACTTTAAACTGGATGAAATTTTCACCCGTTGGCAATGCTACAGTTTTTCTCTCGATATTTTAAGTCTATAAAAACAGAAGACTTAATCCCGCATCGAATGATTGCCATCGAGCAAACGCAACGGACGGTAAGCTTTAAGCACGAGTTATTTCGATTGAATTCTAGGRAAAAAATTAATGATATTTAGCTTTTTAATGAATTGAGTAAGTTTAGTAATTCATCAAATTGAATATTACATTTGCCGCCAGTTCTGTTGGCTAAGACCGCGACTCAAATGCGATTCTTATTTACACCCAAGTGTTCATTGTTGCCATTTCGTTCAGACTTAATAGAATTGTGAAAAGTTAGTTTATTTAAGGCATGCGTTGTTTAAATGCTCACAATTTCGATTCGGGACGCACTCTACAATTGATACATACAAGTTTACTTGCAAGAGCCATTTATGTTGATGGATTTGAGGGAAAGTAATTTTCAAAGAAAATGATTTCTTTATCGACTGTAATCAGCGAGAGTTTGCGATGATTTACACTTAAGAGTAAATCTATTTACACTGTTTCAGACTTCGTTTTGTCATAGTTGCTAAGTAACGGTCAATACTTTTTTCTCAATAAGAAGTCTCATAGTCTGTACGTCACGTGAATCTAAGGATGGCAAATAATGGGGTATATATGATTTTGTCAGGATGCAAAAAGAGGAATATAACCCTGTGTAATTAACATTAATTAACAAGTGAAATAACGAAAACAGCTAATTGAATAAAACAGAATACATTCATACAAATTGTCATGGCATTGACTGTATTCTAATAATCRTTGTTCTGTGTGTTRCAGTACTTCCTAGTCATCGCCAGCCGATTTGGAAAAACGCAACTGTATAGATTTAACAAAACAAAGTCTCTTTATATATTTGGATATGAAAGCAAGATTAGAAGAATATGTTTGCAGCTTATCACCAATCAATATCCTTACAATGTCGTCAGTGAAGATAGTTTGACAATGATGTCCTTTCTGCGATGCCCGTGTGCGGCTAAGGCTAAATAACCATTAAGAATATATATCATCAATTAGTAATTGCTTTATCATATTGTTTTATTATGCTTATTAAATTGTCGCGGTTTTGTTTCTTAACCTTTTTCAAGTATTTCGAAATGTTTGTGTTGCTTACTATTATAATAAACTGTATATTTTTAGCAATGACAAAGCCTCCAGAGGAGCCAGAGTAAGTAATATTGTCTTTTCGAASTCTCGCTATAAATAGGAGAGACAGAACSAAACGTTTAATTTCCAGCTAACAAACACGMCTGAACTAAAAACCGCTCAATTCTGTTTTCTTTCAGGTACGTTTTTGCGGCTATTTATACTCTAGAAATGTTTTTTAAGATAATTGGAAGAGGTTTTGCACTTCATAAATACGCCTAYCTTCGCGATCCATGGAACTGGCTAGATTTTGTGGTGGTTATTATGGGGTATGTGATATAATGCAATGTGCAATGTGATATCATGTGGTATTTAACAATATCTTTGTTGTCCAGGTATATCACGTTTGCTCCAGGCATTGGTAATTTATCTGGTATTCGTACATTTAGGGTGTTTCGAGCGTTAAGGACTATATCAGCAGTTAAAGGTAACCATTCAATGCGTATGCGCCTTTTTTGTATTGGCATTGCGCATATCATTTTCTGAACGAATCGTTAACTCTTTCAGTACAGTCAATAAACAATCAATAAAACCAGGTCATGTTGTTACGATTCAGGCTTAAAAGCAATGGTTAACACGCTTCTCATGTCGATGAAGATGCTTGGTGATGTCATGGTTCTTACTACATTCTTTATTTGTATCTTTGCGTTGATTGGCATGCAGCTTTTTGTTGGTGTTCTTCGTAGCAGATGCAGTATTCCTGTTCCAGTCAATCTAACCATGTCTTACAGAAGCTATGCATCGAATAGCAGTAAGTATTTCATCATGTAGATTCAATATTAACAGCGGAGTAGTTGATGCTGTAGAGGTGGGTTGTTGTTTTGTGGTGTCATGGTGATGGTTGTTGTAGAGGTGATAGTGGTGGTGGTGTCATAGTGATGGTTGTTGTAGAGGTGATAGTGGTGGTGGTGTCATGGTGATGGTTGTTGTAGAGGTGATAGTGGTGGTGTCATGGTGATGGTTGTTGTAGAGGTGATAGTGGTGG